CCATTGCACTCCAGCCTGGGTAACAAGAGCGAAACTCCGTCTTAAAAATAAAAAACAAAAAACAGACTTTAAACCAACAAAGATCAAAAAAGACAAAGAAGGACATAATATAATGGTAGCAGGATCAATGCAACAAGAAGAATGAATTATCCTAAATATATATGCACCCAATATAGGAGCACCCAGATTCATAAAGCAAGTTCTCAGAGACCTACAAAGAGACAGAGACTCCCACACAGTAACAGTAGGAGACTTTAACACCCTATTATCAATATTAGTCAGATCAACCGGACAGAAAATTAACAAAGACATTTAGGACTTGAACTCAGCTCTGGACCAAGAAGACCTAATAGACATCTATAGAATTCTCCACCCCAAATCAATAGAATATACACTCTTCTCAGCAACACATAGCACTTATTCTAAAACTGACCACATAATTGGAAGTAAAATACTCCTCAACAAATGCAAAAGAACGGAAATTGCAAGTCTCTCAGATTACAGTGCAATCAAATTAGAACTCAGGATTAAGAAACTCACTCAAAACCACGCAACTACATGGAAACTGAACAACCTGCTCTCGAATCACTACTGGGTAAGTATCAAAATTAAGGCAGAAATAAAAAAAGTTCTTTGAAACCAATGAGAACAAAGACAGAACTTACCACAATCTCTGGGGAATAGCTAAAGCAGTTTTTAGAGGGAAATTTACAGCATTAAATGCCCACAGGAGAAAGCGGGAAAGATCTAAAATCGATATCCTAACATCACATTAAAAGAACTAGAAAAGCAAGAGCAAACAAATTCAAAAGCTAGCAGAAGACAAAAAAATAAGTAAGATCAGAGCAGAACTGAAGGAGATAAAGACATGAAAAACTCTTTTAAAAATCAGTGAATCCAGGAGCTGGTTTTTTGAAAAGATTAACAAAATGGATAGACCGCTAGCCAGAATAATAAAGAAGGGAGAATCAAACAGACACAAGAAAAAATGATTAAGGATCACCACTGAGCCAACAGATACACAAACTACCATCAAAGAATACCATAAATACCTCATGCAAATAAACTAGAAAATCTAGATGAAATGGATAAATTAATTCCTGGACACATATACCCTCCCAAGACTAAACCAGAACGAAGTTGAATCCCTGAATAGATCAAAAACAAGTTCTGAAATTGAGGCAGTAATTAATAGCCTAACAACCAAAAAAAGCCCAGGACCAGAAGGATTCACAGCTGAATTCTACCAGAGGTACAAAGAGAAGCTGCTACCACTCCTTCTGAAACTATTCCAAACAATAGAAAAAAAGGAAATCCTCCCAAACTCATTTTATAAGGCCAGCATCATCCTGCTACCAAAACCTAGCAGACACAACTAAAAAAGAAAATTTCAGGCCAGTATCTCTGATGAATATCGATGTGAAAATCCTAAATAAAATACTGGCAAACCGAATCCAGCAGCACATGAAAAAGCTTATCCACCATGATCAAGTGGGCTTCATCCCTGGGATGCAAAACTGGCTCAATATACGCAAATCAATAAACCTAATCCGTCACATTAACAGAACCAATAACAAAAACCACATGATTATCTCAATAGAGGCAGAAAAAGGCCTTCAATAAAATTTAACACCCCTTCATGCTAAAAACATTCAGTAATCTAGGTATTGATGGAACGTATCTCAAAATAGTAAGAGCTATTCATGAAAAACCTACAGCCAATATCATACTGAATGGGCAAAAGCTGGAAGCATTCCCTTTGAAAACTGGCACAAGACAAGGATGCCCTCTCTCACCACTCCTATTCAACATAGTATTAGAAGTTCTGACCCGGGCAATCAGGCAGGGGAAAGAAATAAAGGATATTCAAATAGGAGGAGACGATGTCAAATCATCCCTATTTGCAGATAACATGTTCATATATTTAGAAAACTCATCGTCTCAGTCCAAAAGCTCCTTGCGCCGAAAAGCAACTTCTGTAAAGTCTCAGGATACAAAATCAATGTGGAAAAATCACAAGCATTCCTATACACCAAAAACAGACAAACAGAGAGCCAAATCATGAGTGAACTCCCATTCACAATTGCTACAAAGAGAATAAAATACCTAGGAATATAACTTCCAAGCAATGTGAAGGACCTCTTCAAGAACTACAAACCACTGCTCGAGGAAATAAGAGAGGACAAAAACAGACAGAAAAACATTCCATGCTCATGGAAAGGAAGAATCAATACCATAAAAATGACCATACTGCCCAAAGTAATTTATAGATTCAATGCTATTCCCATCAAACTACCGACTTTCTTCACAGAATTAGAAAAAATTACGTTAAATTTCATGTGGAAGCAAAATAGAGTCTGTATAGCCAAGACAATCCTAAGCAAAAAGAACAAAGCTGGAGGCATCACACTACCTGACTTCAAACTATACTACAAGCCTATGGTAACCAAAACAGCATGGTACTGGTACCTAAACAGATATATAGACCAATGGAACAGAGTAGAAGCCTCAGAAATAACACCACACATCTACAAGCATCTGATCTTTGACAAACCTGACAAAAACAAGCAATGGGGAAAGAATTCCCTATGTAATAAATGCTGTTGGGAAAATTGACTAGCCATATGCAGAAAACTGAAACTCCTTACACCTTATACAAAAATTAACTCAAGATAGATTAAAGATTTAAATGTAAGACCTAAAACCATAAAAATTCTAGAAGAAAACCTAGGCAATACCATTTAGGACATGGGCATGGGCAAAGACCTCATGACTAAAACTCCAAAAGCAATGGCAACAAAAGCCAAAATTGACAGATGGGATCTAATTAAACTAAAGAGTTCTGCATGGCAAAAGAAACTATCATCAGAGTGAACAGGCAACTTATAGAATGGGAGAAAATTTCTGCAATCTATCCATCTGACAAAGGGCTAATACCTAGAATATACAAGGAATTTAAACAACTTTACAAGAAAAAAACAACTCCATCAAAAAGTAGCCAAAAGATATGAACAGTCACTTTGCAAAATAAGATATTTATGTGGCCAACAAACATATGAGAAAAACTCATCATCACTGGTCATTAGAGAAATGCAAATCAAAACCGCAATTAGCTATCATCTCATGCCAGTTAGAATGGTGATCATTAAAAAGTCAGGAAACAGCAGGTGCTGGAGAGGATATGGGGAAATAGGAGAGCTTTTACACTGTTGGTGGGAGTGTAAATTAGTTCAACCGTTAAGACTGTGTGATGATTCCTCAAGGATCTAAAACTAGAAATACCATTTGACCCAGCAATCCCATTATTGGGTATCTACCCAAAGGATTATAAATCATTCTACTATAAAGACATATGCAGACGGGCGCAGACGGGCCAGGCGCGGTGGCTCAAGCCTGTAATCCCAGCACTTTGGGAGGCCGAGGTGGGTGGATCACGAGGTCAAGAGATTGATACCATCCTGGTCAACATAGTGAAACCTCGTCTCTACTAAAAATACAAAAAATTAGCTGGGCATGGTGGCACGTGCCTGTAATCCAGCTACACAGGAGGCTGAGGCAGGAGAATTGCCTGAACCCAGGAGGTGGAGGTTGCGGTGAGCCGAGATTGCACCATTGCACTCCAGCCTGGGTAAGAAGAGCGAAACTCCGTCTCAAAAGAAAAAAAAAATGATTAAAAAAAAAAAGACATATGCACACATATGTTTATTGCAGCACTGCTCACAATAGCAAAGACCTGGAACCAACCCAAATGCCCATCAAAGATAGACTAGATAAAGAAAATGTGACACATATACACCATCAAATATTATGCTGCTATAAAAAATGAGTTCATGTCCTTTGCAGGGACATGTATGAAGCTGGAAACCGTCATTCTCAGCAAACTAACACAGGAACAGAAAACCAAACACTGCATGTTCTCACTCATAAGCGGGAGTTGAACAATGAGAATATATGGGCACAAGTAGGGAAACATCACACACTAGGGCCTGTCCAGGGGTGGAAAGCAAGGGGAGGGATAGCATTAGGAGGAACACCTAACAAAGATGATGGGTTGATGGGTGCAGCAAACCACCATGGCATGTGTATAGCTATGTAACAAACCTGCATGTGCTGCATATGTATCCCAAAATTTAAAGTATAATTTAAAAAAAGAAATTTTTATGAAAAAAAAATTATACTTAAAGTGCATAAATCTTGAATGCTAACTCAAAAAATTTTGTTTTCTTTCATTTTTTCTTTGGAGACAGTCTCATTGTACCACCCAGGGTGGGAGCACAGTGGCACCATCTCAGTTCACTGCAACCTCCATCGCCTGAGTTCAAGCAATTCTCCCCTGTCAGCCTTACGAGTAGGTGGGATTCAGGTGCCCACCACCATGTGCAGCTAATTTTTGTATTTGTATTAGAGACGAGGTTTCACAATGTTGGCAAAGCTGGTCTTGAACTCCTGACCTTGAGTGATCTGCCTGCCTCAGCCTCCCAAAGTGCTGGGATTATAAGCATGAGCCACCACCCCCAGTCTCAATGAATGTTTATACATACAGCTCCCCACAGTATCTTCAAGAATTGATTCCAGGATCCACACAGATACCAACATCCACAGATGCTCAAGTACTTTATGTAAAATGGTGTAGTAACTGCATATAACCTATGCACATCCTCCCCAAGAGTATAAATCATCTCTAGATTGCTTATAATACTTAATTCAATGTAAATGCTATATAAACAGTAACCTGTATTATCTTTTATTTTTGTATTATTGTTTATTATTTTCTAAATATTTTCTATTCATGGTTGGCTGAATCCCCAGATCAAAAACCCATGGATATGGAGAGCCAACTGTATATTCATCCATGTAACTACCACCTAGATGAAGATATAGACCTAAAGCTAGATTCGAAAGTTTTATTGAAAAAGAAGAAAAAAAAAGCCGAGAGATTAAGTACTACTGCTCCTCTAAACCAAAAGGATTTTTATCTACTTAAAATTTTATTTTCATACCTCAAATTCATCTTGAGTACTATGGACACTGCACCATCTAGCAACAGGTTCAGGAACCACTTCCCAATCTTCACACACTTTTTTCAGGATATTTACAAATGTTGACTTCCCTGCCGCTGTTGTAAGAACGATAAAATGAGGAAGAAAAGTTGTTTGTCAGGAAAAAAAGACGTGAAATAATCATCAGCTTTTGCAAGATTTACAATAGCAAGCAACACAAAAAATCCAAAACATTCCATTTTCTAAATCTTATATTTCTTTAAATGAAAATTAAAAGGCTCCCTGACCAATTTTATTAAGCACATTTGTTTGTTATTATGTTCACTTTAAAAATACATTATATTTAATAGTAGGGACAGTCTTGATCTAGAAGCAATATTCCTAATGGCCACCACACCCTTTATATCTGAAGTCACCAAATGTGGTTACATTAGACATCTCTGGTTAGTATAATGTTTTCTATCTTTCCACACACACACAAATACGCACACACAGATGAACATATAAATAACTTCAACATACTTACAAGCAAAGCTTCCTCTTCCTTATAAATTAGATCTACAGAGAGTAAAAAGAACTTACCTTTGACTTGCAGAACTATATTTAAATCTAGGACATTAGGGCAATAGAAAGGAAGAAAAAACTAGAAGAACTTTAAAGAATCACACACAGAGGAAAAAAAAGGGTGGGAGGCAGTAAATTAAAAGGTGACACAGGGAGACAGTTTTGAAGAAAAACACAGTCAATTGTCTCCAGAATAGAGGAGAAAAACTTTTAAGGATAAACTGGATGACTATTAGATTTAGTCATGGGAAAAACACTGGCCACCAAAATTTAGTATGGAGAGTGTAAGCTTAGGGACTTTAAGACACTTAGAAGAATGTTAAGTGGAAGTGGCAGCATATAGTTCACATTCACTGAACTAGATGGAAGAGGGAAAGGGAACATGATGTTCAGAAAGAGCACCCAAGGAACACATTTAAAAATTAGGCATCCACTCGAGTCTGAAAGCACTTAGGGCTAGAGCATTCAACTTTCTTCTGACACTGCCTATAAGAAGAAAAAGTTCATGAGGTCATACTTTAAGAGTAATAACGGTTACATTTAGTTCAAGCAGAGTAGTAACAGCTGGAGTTCCCAATTAGACTAGCATCTACTTCCTTAATTTTTGGGGGGAAAGTGGGAGCTAGAAAATAAGCTAATTGTAAACGGAGACTGCGCAGGGGGCCTGAGCGAGAGTCGCGGCAAGGGTGCTGGCACAGAGGAACACGGGTCGCACACGGGTCGTAGCAGGTCCCACACTCCAGCCTCTCGCGTCCAGGGTTTGCTGTCTGTTTTTCCTGTACTGAGGTGCCCATGATCAAGTCATCCAAGGAGGAAAAAATCTGTTCCGCGTGAGCCCAGGCCGCCCCGGATACGCAATGGCTGAGGAGCGAACTCTCAGTGTGGCTGAGGTTGGGTTTCAGACCAAGATACTGGATTCTCCTAGTTAAGATAAAGAGCTTTGGGTGCCTGACAGTGAAAATGGCGTAATCTGCGTTAAGAATTAACAGCTTGAAGGCATGACAGATAAAGAACACACATGGACTTGTGGCACATGGAAATGTGTGCACAGAAAAAGGAAATCTATAATTCTTTAAAAGTAGGAAGGCATTCTTCCTCGCCAAAATGGGTACATTCTGTTCAGTTATCAAATTTGAAAATCTCCAAGAATTAGAGACTGTTTCACTGGGGGCCCATCATAGCCCTTGATGTTATAGCAATATGTTGTACAATGGCCATGATTGACTCTGTGTTGTGGTATTGGCCCCTACATACAACCGGAGGAAGTCTGAATTTCAACATGTTGATAAATTGGACTGTCATGATTCTTTATAATTACTTCAATGCCATGTATGTCGGTCCGGGCTTCGTCCCTCTGGGGTGGAAACTGGAAATTTCTCAGGATACCATGGATCTCCAGTATTGTAAAGTCTGCCAACCATACCAGGCACTACATTCACATCACTGCAGAAAGTCTAACAGCTGTGTGATGAAGATGGACCATCATTGTCCTTGGATCAAAAACTGTTACCAAAATCATGCTTCGTTCACACTGTTTCTCCTTTTAGCACCACTGGGTTGTATCCATGCTGCTTTCATGTTTGTGATGACTATGTACACACAGCTTTATAATCATATAAGCATTTATAGCTTATTTAGATCTGGCAAATAAGGTGAAGGGGATATGAACAAAAGTGCAAGACCAATAATAAACAGCAACTAACAAAGTCCCAGTGTCAGGGAGATGAAAAATGGCAAGGAACATGTTCCATCTAAACACCAATGTTGTCATACAGAAATGCAGGCCCAGTGTTAACAGATCTTCAGATTTTTCAAAAGCAGCCAAGAATCTAGATGTTTATGGGAAATCTCAAAAAGTTTTCAAGTTAGCAACGGATTTGATTTGTTGTCCCTGTAATGCTGAAACATATCAAGCCCCAGAGGGCAAGAAGAAAAATAGATAGCACAAATTAATAATTTGTGCATTTATAGCTTATTTAGATCTGGCAAATAAGGTGAAGGGGACATGAACAAAACACTGTGTCTAAAGAAAACACTCTGTAGCCCAGGCTATAGTGCAGTGGCACAACCACAGCTCACGGCAGCCTCATTATAGGTCTCAAGATATCCCCCACTTCGGCCTCCTGAGTAGCTAGGACTAAAGGTGAATGCTACAACATCAGGCCTTTTCTTTTTTTTTTTCTGTCACCAGGCTGGAGTGCAGTGGTGCCATCTCGGCTCACTGCAACTTCTCCATCCCAGACTCAAGCAATCCTCCCACATTAGCGTCAACCTCCTGAGTAGCTGGAACTACATGTGTGATCCACCGTGCCTGGTCTAATTTTTTTTTTTTTATTTTTCTTACAGAACAGTTCTCACTATGTTGCCACACTGGTCTCAAACTCCTGGCCTCAAGTAATCCTCCCACCTCAGCCTCCCACAGCACTGTAATTATAAACTTGAGCCACGGGGCACTAAAATTTTTTTTCAACCTGTACAGGCCAATATTGTGCAACTGCAGGCTATCAGTTTGCAATTCCTTTCAGTGTAGGTAATGGGGAAATCAGTGAATAAGTTTAAGCAAGGGATAACGCAAAAACATCTGCATACAAAAAGACTGCTCCAGAAGTAGTTAAGAGAAACTGGAGATGGGATGATATATTAGGAAATTATTTCAGGTGCTGAGAAGATTAAAGATGCTTTGGGGAAAGCAGATTTCTAAATATGATGTTATCTGACTGGATTTGAGAGAGGGAAAGAGGATGAATGTACTGTGGTATTGCTCTGAGGAGATATTCATTGAAATTCCCTTTTTTGTTTGGTTTTTGTGTTTTTAACACAGTCTTGCTTTGTCCCCCAGGCTGGAGTGCAGTATTGTGATCATGGCTCACTGTGGCCTTGACCTCTGGGCTCAAGCAATCCTCCTGCCTCAGGCTCTCCAGTAGCTGGGACCACAGGCACACACCAGCACATGAAGCAACTTTTTAATTTTTTTTTTAATGAGGGCTCACTATGTTACCCAGGCTGGTCTCGAGCTCCAGGACTCAAGCCATCCTCTTGCCTAAGCCTCCCAAAATCCTGGGATTACAAGTATGAGTCACCATGCCCCGTCTCAAATTTATCTTTCAGATGGCTTTGTTCAGCTACTTTCTCCTGCCTTTATATATGTTCTTCTTTATCCAGTAAGCAGCTGTGAAGGAGTCCATACTAGTAAACATGCACCCTCAAATAACTTACATTGCTAAGTATATTATATGGTCTTTCTAGTAGTGCCTTAATTCTGGAACAATGAAATAAGAAAGTCTTCTTTGAGAATGCATTTTTTTTTTCTATTCATTTGAATGCTTAAAGCATCTGCTTCCCTAGCTTTTCTCAAGAAAGTACAGTGCTTTGAATGTGGTAAGAATTTTTAAACATTTGCTGTATGCATGAGTGACCAGCACCCAACCTGGAGCTAAACAATTTTTTTTTAAATCTATCAAAACAGGAAGTTTCAGGAGTAGGTTTCCTGTGGTTGGAAATACAAAAGAATTGAAAGTTGCTGTGCATCTTGCAAAATGGCAGGCGTGGCCTAATCTGGCCCCAATCTGAGTCAACAGGAATGTCAGTGGTCTTTGAATCATAATCCAATGTTTACTTGGTTGTGGAGTAAGGGGGAGGAACTCCATGCTATTAAGATCATTAAAGGCCTCTTTCCTGGTACTCGAATGTTTATATGTTTCGTTAATAATATAGCTGAAAAACTGTAAACAACCCAGAGGTCCACAACTAGAAAATGGATAAACAATGGTATATCTATGCAATGGAATACTACTCAGCAATAAAAAGAAACAAACCATAGACACAAGTAACATGAACGAACTTCCAAAGCATTATGCTAAATGAAAGACGCCAGGCACAAAAGGCGATATAATCTGATTCCACTTAGATGGCATTCTGGAAAAGGCAACACTTGCAGGGATAGAAAACAAATCAGTGGTTGCCAGGGAATAGGAAGGGGGTAGAGGGCTGACTACAAAGGAGCAAGCAGGAACTTTCCGAGGTAATGGAAATGTTCTGTATCTCGATCGTGGTGATAGTTAAAGGCACAACGTTTGTCAAACCTCACAGAATAGCACACCTAAAAATGGTGAATTTAATGTCAGTTACGCCTCCAGATATCTGATACCCTTTCCCCGCTTCCCTTTGCGACTTCCCAACAAAGCGGGTGCAGAAGCTCAAAGCGCGCCTCACAGACTGCAGGCCCGGCGCCCGGTCTGAACTCTGTGACCGCAGCCACCCCGCGGCGCCGGAGGCAAGGGGAGGATGCTGCGGGTGGGAAAGGAAGCCGAGGCCGCGTCCACAGGGCCAGGCTGGAGGGAAAGCCCTCACCAAGGCGCTGCAGAGAAGGGAAGGGGAGCTGCAGCCCCTGCCGCGACGCCCCAGCCTTTGGTCTCACATTTCCGGAAGCTCCTTACCGATGTTCCCTTCGATGGAGATTTTCTTGATGCGGGTCCCCTCCGCGCTGGCTGAGAGAGATGGGCAGCGTCTCTTCGGCGGGGAGGCCATTCCTAGTCTTGTGTCGGCCTGCAGCGCGTCGGGCAGAGAGACCAGGGAGGCAGCCACAGATGCACGCGCTGGAGCTCGCGGCGCCGCAGAGACAGATCCTGACCTGCCCGGTCCTCTAGTGAGCTCACCGACCCGCCGGCGGGTGTAGAGGTTTGACTTTGGCGCGCGCAGGCAGCTGATTGTAGGGGCGGGCCTGTGGCGTGGCCCCGCCCTTCCCAACCCAGAGACCCCGCGCCGGCCGGTCGGCCCTCGCCCGCCTCCAACGCGCGCCCCCGTGTGCGCGCTCCGCGGGCCAGGTCACGTGGAGGCCGGGGCGGGGCTGCGCGTGAGGCGGTGCAACTCTACGGCTGCCTCCTGGCGCCGGGGCGGGGCGCGGAAGAGGTTCGGGAGTTGGGTAGGGAGGAAGGGTGGACGCCAGAGGCCTGAGGGCGTTACCCGCAGTGGGCCGTGCCAGACTTTGGAAAACTCGCGTTTCCAGTGGGCCTGTTGGAGATGAACATCGCATCTGGACAGAACTGGATGGACTTAAAGCTTTGAACTCATCAGAGGAGGGACACTGTGTGATAGGAAAATCAAATAGATTTACCCTGGCTTCTCAGCCTAGAAGACAAACATCAGGCAAGTGCTGTCCTGGGGAAACGCACTGTCCACTTACTATGAGCCCGGCTGTCTTCCATGTGCTTTTCATTAATTAAGTCTAGTGCCAGAGATACTGTCATTAGCCCATTTACCTACGGTGGGAATACAGGCACTGAGAGGCTGCTTGTTCCATGTGTCAGTAAGTGAAACTGGGATGGGAATTTAGGTAGTCAGATGCCTCCCACGGGAACCCTTTCCAGATCTCCCAACCCCTTTCCATTTGATTTGGATGCACGACCATGCTGTGTAGAAGTTAGCACGTTGGGTAGGTAGGTTTCTGTTCAGCTGTTAATTGACTTAGCCTGCCCAACACCTGGCACAAAGGTAACAAAATGAACTGTGTGCCTAATTTTTGAATACCTACTTCTGTGCCTTGTACTCTGCCAGAAGACTCATCTAGTTGGGACAAATGCAATGTAGGATTGGTTTGTCCCAGCTAGATGAGTGCATTTTTAGTCAGGGTAAAGACCTAATGAGGCAGGAGAATAGGGAATTAGGGTAACCAAAGGTTAAGGCATAAGCAAAAGAATAGCAGATGCAGCCAGTTCTAGGCAAGACTAGGCAGCATACAGGCCACACCTTCACTCCGGTGATTTTACAAGGCATAAGTTTCAACATCAACCTCTGATTGGCCTGGGCCATGTCCATTTCAGCCTCTGATTGGTCGCAGGCCAATCCTTCATAGGGTGTAACCAATTAGAGGACTGTAAAGGTCCTAGAGGTTTACCAAATTCTTTTAGCCTAGTAACCCTTAAGAACGTTGCAATTGGGACTCGAGGCACTTGCTTGCTTCAATAAATTTCTTTTGTTACTCCGTTCTTTCGTTGCTTTGTCTTTCATTGCTTCCTTCTTTTTGTTCAGTTCTTCATTCAACACTCCAAGAACCCAGACAACTCAGGAGTTGAGACTTCCCATCCAGTAACACTAATAAACTGGACATTACCCACTCTGGAAGTTATCTTGTCCAAACTGTCTACAGAAACCAAAGGCCTTTTTTACATTGCAACTATCATCAGATCTGAAATGCATCTAAATGTGTAGCCAGAAGGGGGAAAATGGTCACTCCATTCTCAGAAATAAAAAGCAGAAATTAAAATGTGACTCCTTAAGGATCACATTTTCCAGGATGAAACAGCAAGAATCATTATTTGTAACTGCCCTATATTATTCCATTATGCATTTATTTTGTATATATTACTTTTAATCACTCCCATTGTGATTAACAGCAAGATCCTAGAAATGGAAAAGGCCTGAATAGTTGCCACCAGGTATAGCAAGGAAGCTGGGAGAAAGGTGCTGGAGAAGCTACTACGTATCACATTCCACAGCCAAGCCTGGGGGAAAACTCATGAAATGGTAAAAGTACTGGCAGCTACCAAGAGGAGGAAGGCAAGGCAAGTCTCTGAGACCTTCAACAGGAAAGCAGAGCTGAAGTCCTGCATGGACGTTGTGGGAAGTAGAAAAGCTCCTCTTCAAAGTTTCCCTTCTTGTTAAAGAATAAATCATAAGTGTTAGAAATAATAGTTTGTCTTAAAGACTTTCTTCAAAGCCTTCTTGCATTTTAGTAATAATTCTTTGTTAAGCCCTATCTCATGTAGTTGTTAGACACGTTCACAGGCACATATGGTACATTCTATGTCCTTGTACTTTAACCAAGATATCTGTGCTGGGCATGCTCACAGGCATGTCCCAGCTCACAGCCTATACCCCTTTCTTATTTGGACTTCTTTTACTTTTGTTCTTCATTGCCTTTACCTCTTCAAGAAAGTTTTAAGTTAATAACCGATCGGGTTCAGTTTTAGAGTGTTAAGTCTGGCTCCAACCGACGGAGATCAGATGACTCCAAATGTGTAAGGGATAAATATGTCTGCTTTTCCTTTGTTAGTTGTACTCTTGGCAAGATGGCTAACAGGGGCATCCTTTCTGCAGAAAGTAAAATTGCCTTGCTGAGAGATCCTTTGTCTCAGTGCTGATTTTTCTTTGCAGCACTGAGCATGTTTCCCACAGATGTCATAAAGAGGTTTGAGGTTGAGGAGTAGAAATCTCCAAGTGTGGTTTCCACAAAAAGACCCACACAAGAAGTGGTATCTTACAATGATGAAGAGTTTAAGCACTGAAAAATTAAAGATTTCAAACACCAGCTCTGCCAGTTCTCGCTTTGAGAACTTGAGTTCATCTAAGCCAAAAGTATACTTTGAAAATACAAATGTGGGGCCACGTACAGTGGCTCACGACTGTAATCCCAGCACTTTGGGAGGCTGAAGTGGGGGGATCATGAGGTCAAGAGACCAAGACCATCCTGGCCAACATGGTGAAACCAGATCTCTACTGAAAATACAAAAATTAGCTGGTAAAACCCTGTCTCTACTAAAAATACAAAAATTAGCCGGGCATGGTGGCACATGCCTATAGTCCCAGCTACTCAAGAGGCTGAGGCAGGAGAATTACTTGGACCCAAGAGGCAGAAGTTGCAGTGAACCAAGATTTACACCACTGCACTCCAGCCTGGCAACAGAGCGAGACTCCATCTTACCAAAAAAGAAAAAAAAAAAAAAAGAAGAAGAAGAAGAAAAGAAAATACAAATGTGGGAGGCCGAAGCAGGTGGAACACTTGAGCCCAGGAGTTTGAGACTAGCCTGGGCAGCATGGCAATACTCTTGTCTCTACCAAAAAAAAAAAAAAAAAAAACAGAAAAATTAGCCAGGCGCCTACAGTCTTAGCTATTTGGGAAGCTGAGGTGGGAGAATTACCAAAGCCTAGGAGTTGAGGCTGCAGTGAGCTAAGATCATGCCACCGTACTCCAGTGAGACCCTGTCTCAAATAACAACGAAGTAAGTGGGGGAAGCAAAGAATCTAGCTTTTTTGGCATTAAGTCCTGCATAGTTTCCCATTTTCCTATATGACCTGTGTGTAACACAAGGAGAGACCAGAGAAAACACTTTTCAAAACACCCTGATTTTTGGTCCACAATCTCTTATCTAAAACCCTGGCAGCCAGATTTTTCAGAATTCAAAATTTTTAGAAAAGAAATTCAAAACTTTGGAACTGGGCACAGTGGCTCATGCCTGTAATCCCAGCCCTTTGGGAGGCTACAGTGGGTGGATTGCTTGAGCTAAGGAATTCGAGACCAACCAGGGAAACATGGCGAAACTAATACAAAAAATACAAAAACTGGCTGGTTGTCACACACCTGGGGTCCCAGCTACTCAGGAGGCTGAGGTGGGAGGATGGCTTGGGCCCAGAAAGTTTTACCTTTAGTGAGCAATGATCACACTGCTGCACACCAGCCTGAGTGACACAGCAAGACTGTCTCAAAAATAAAATTCAGAATCCAAACTTTAAAAAAGAAATACAGTGCATATACTGTATCTATTAAGCACCCCCACTCCCTCTGCAAAGGTGTTAAATCAAATGCACTAATATTTTGCAGTGAAATATAAAGAGTGTTAACGTGAAGTGGGATAAAGACTATTAACCTCCAGTCACATTAAGTTTGCACTGAATTCAAAAAACTACATTTGGGGCCAGGCACGGTGGCTCACGCCTATAATCCCAACACTGTGGGAGGCCAAGGCGGGTGGATTACCTGAGGTCAGGTGTTTGAGACCAGCCTGCCCAACATGGTGAAACCCCGTCTCTCCTAAAGACACAAAAACTAGCCAGGCATGGTGGCGTGTGCCTATGGTCCCAGATACTCGGGAGACTGAGGCAGGTGAATCACTTGAACACGGGAGGCAGAGGTTGCAGTAAGCCAAGATCACTCAACTGTATTCCAGCCTGGCTAACAAGAGTGAAACTCCATCTTAAAAAAAAAAAAAAAAAAAAAAAAAAAAGGCCGGGCGCGGTGGCTCAAGCCTGTAATCCCAGCACTTTGGGAGGCCGAGGCGGGTGGATCACGAGGTCAAGAGATCGAGACCATCCTGGTCAACATGGTGAAACCCCGTCTCTACTAAAAAATACAAAAAATTAGCTGGGCATGGTGGCGTGTGCCTGTAATCCCAGCTACTCAGGAGGCTGAGGCAGGAGAATTGCCTGAACCCAGGAGGCGGAGGTTGCGGTGAGCCGAGATCGCACCATTGCACTCCAGCCTGGGTAACAAGAGCGAAACTCCGTCGCAAAAAAAAAAAATTTGGGTTTTCTGAGCTTTTCAGATTTTGAAACTGTAGATAAGAGAGAACACAGAGCACCCAGCCAGTCATGAGCATGCTGCCATCTTAACCCTTTCTTGTCAGAAATTTTACTATTCCTTCAATTTGGGAATTCTTTTTCTCCTGTGGGAATTCTAATAATCCCAGCACTTTGGGAGGCTATGGTGGGTGAATTGCCTGACAACATACAGGTTTATTAAGAAAACTAAATCAACTCAGAAAATAGTAAAAAGCATAGAAAATAAGAGGCCCTGAACATAGTTAAGTAGTGGTTACACAGCCCATGAGTTTGCCTACACCAGCTCAACTACTTACGTAATATGTTGAGCAACTTAATAAGCTTCATTATAAATTTCCCCTTGTAATCTTCATTAGTGCCTAGAAAACAGGGTACAGAAGCCATCATAAATGCAAGAGTGGGAGTCTGGGTACTGCCTGCAAATCTGAAATCTGAAAGCAAAATAACATACTAGGAGAGCATAGGAGTCATCAATTGTATACAGCTTAGCAAAGAAAGCTGTTTTGCTACATGCTTGTAAAGTGAACCAGAGTCATCAAGGTGATACTGTATTCATCATGGTGTTTAAAACAGGAGCATGTACAATTTTTTAGTAAA